ATAATAACGTTAATGATGTGTCACTAAAGTAATGGATTCATGTCCAATGATCGTCTTCATAAACAGTAGCCTTTGAAGTAATTGTCTTACAGGATCATTTCCTTTCTCTTGCCCTCTGTATGTAGAATTTAATTCTAGTAATTGCTCATTATCATCATGATTAACGTCTGCCGTTAACCGGCGTGAAAAGGAAGTTTCAGATCCATTGATTGCTAGGCAGCAATGACATTACTGTCATGTCGTGTCGATATAGAAGGTCTTTAATGTCACAGATAAATCTTCCTCTAGAGCGACCTCTTGCTTTCGCATCAGATCTGTTCGTGTGTAGCGCCTGTTAAAGGACATTAACCTTTAGGTGACTGCGTTGGTAGGTGTTCTGACTGCATTCTTACCAGATGACCAAACCATCTGATAGCATAGGCGCCAGAAGCGGGAAGCTTAGGCACCCTGCGCGCCCCATCCTACTAAGTAGTAGTAGTAGTAGTAGTAGTAGTAGTAGTAGTAGTAGTAGTAGTAGTAGTAGTAGTAGTAGTAGTAGTAGCAGCAGCAGCAGCAGCAGCAGCAAAAGCAGCAGCAGTAGTAGTAGTAATAGTAGTAGTAGTAGTAGTAGGAACAGCAGCAACAGCAGCCGCAGTAGTAGTACCGGGTCGCCGATTGGTTGGCCGGTAGACGACTTCGTCGCCGGTCGGGACAGTATTTGGGTCTGTCTCCTTTGATGGCATCAACACTGCAAGAGTCCTTTTCAAAGCTAGTTGGTGGCGAGCAATGCTTAAGCCATTTTATATGGCGCACATAACCTAGTCACAATTATAGGCTAAAGCTTCTCGTCTAGGGATGCTTGCTGAACGTTAAGTTTATGTCCCTAGTAAAAAAACGCGACGAAACGTTTCACTTACCTATAGCTTCCTTCTATAGCTGTAGATGTTCTGGGTTTATTTGTGATAACCATGAGAAAAATGCTTGCAGCTAGCTTATCTAGTCCCAGACTGACCTATCAAAAAAAGTTTGTCCTTGAGCAAATCCTTTACATGTCCACACAAGCAGTTAAGTAATATGGATACAGTTTAGTGCATTCCATTAGGTTGTGTTTTGGGCCCTAGAATGCTCTTTTATACAGACACGAACTGTGGTACAATAAACACATACATGGGGTGACTACCCTGTTGGAATGGCCAATATGCATTGGCGTCAATCATGATAAGAGAATATAACACACACAAAGTCATGCGTGGATACAATAACACGCCCCCTCCCCACCCCACACCCCTCCTTTTGCGGCAGGCAACAGGACGCAGTATCAGCACCCTTTTCTATGCATACATTTTTGTCAGTGCTACGGTGATGGACAATGAATGAATGAATGAATGAATTGACATCATTGCACTCTGGACATTTCCACACATGCTCCGCCCACTTCCTCGGTAGCCAACAAAGAGTCGACATGCTAATAGTACCAGTTGCAACCTGGTTAGAGGTGCGCCAGTGTTTTGAATATCTTTCAAAACCTCTACATCCCCCCTCCCCCTCCCCCCAGCTCATTAAATTAGTCTTTCGCTGTATGAATTCTCCGTTCTATTGTACTGTCCCTTTGATCACATGGAAGCCTTTTCCACGTCCGATTGATGAAGTAGCTCACCACCGAGAGAGGCGGCAGCAGCTAATCTATCAGCATTTTCGTTATCTCGCAAATCTGAATAGCCTTGCCAGAAAATTCGTGATATGCTCCAAGTCAGAGTCTTATGAAGCGGATGAGCCAGCCTGCTCTCATGATGCCAATTTCAGTTTTCGAAGCATGACTTGTGAGTCATCATCATCATTATCATCATCATCATCATCAATTCTCTATATGCCTAGTGGCATATGAGGCTTTAGAGAGGACTTTCCGTGCTTTCCTGTCATGTGCAATCTTCAGGGCAGTTTTCCATGTCAGAGATGCCGCATTCAGGTCACTCTCTATCGTTCGTCAAAATGTTTTTTTAGCGTTCCTTCTTTCTCTTTCCCTCTGGTGTCCACGTGAGAGCTATTTTGGCAGGTATATCAGGATTCATTCTCATAACGTGGCCAAGCCATTTCTATCTTTTCTTGGTTATCATACTGTCTAGAGTTTCTTGGTGTATGACTTGAAGTAGTTTAGTGTTTGAGGTTGTATCTGGCTAGAAAATTTTGATAATTCTACATAGACTTGTGTGGGGAAGGCGGATAGCTTGTGTGCATCCTTTTTGGTCATTCACCATTCCATAAAAAAGAACTAGCAAAATGATGCTCTTGCAGAGTCGGAGTTTAGTTCCTCTGCAGTAACTGTTGGATTTCCAGATTTGTGAGCTGTGAGTCACTTACAATTATATGTCGGGCTGTGCTGACCCAAGCCATTGGACAGCTCTCGTTACTGCCTCCATTGCACAGGACATGAAAGCATGGAAAGTCCTCTCTAAAGCCTCATGTGCCATTAGAGAACGGATGATGATGATGATGCAACAAATGTACCAATCCATCATGCAAGCCACCCGAAAAGCGCAAGACAAATAAATAAAGAAAACCACGACGCTAGGCTACAACTGGGTATTAGTGATTGAACAAAAGCAAAAGAAGATTAGGACACTCCACAGTTACGTTGTAACCTGTGGTGCAGTGCGGGGAGCGGAGGGAATGCGCTGATTCGTAACGCTAGGTAAGATTCCCATGTTTTAATAAACATTGTAGCCTGTTGATCTGTAACTATTTCGGTGCTAAGCAACGCATCATACGTTCTTTGATTAGCACGAATATGATATTTATTTAGGAACTTCTCTGCTTCAGTTCTTCTTTTACACTATCCAACTATACATTCAAGTGTTACTTTGGACTCTTCTGGCGTCGCGTTGGTTTGCAAACACTTATAAAGTTCATAAGCTACGTTTTTTGAAACTTTTATCAGTCATTCAGATTCCGTCTCCACAGTCAAGGGTGTCTGTAAAGGATATCTAACACACTTTCTATTTCGTCCAATGTTTGTATTTTAATGGTAACACCCCACCCCCAACCTTTCCCACTTAGCCCAAACCACCTAGAAACTTTATATTTTTAAGTAGTTCAGTCTCAAAGGTTGTTGCTCAAGTATACACAATTTGGGCTGGAAAGTGCCCAGGGTTCAACAAGATATTTTGGTGAAAATTATTACCTACTACTACTACTACTACTACTACAACTACTAATACTACTACTACTACTACTACTACTACTACTACTACTACTACTACTACTACTACTACTACTACTACTACTACTACTACTACTACTACTACTACTACTACTACTACTACTACTACTACTACTACTAGTAGTAGTAGTAGTAGTAGTAGTAGTAGTAGTAGTAGTAGTAGGTAATAATTTAGTAGTAGTAGTAGTAGTAGTAGTAGTAGTAGTAGTAGTAGTAGTAGTAGTACTGCTGCTGCTACTACTATTACTACTACTCCTGCTGCCGCTACTAATACCACTACTATTACTACTACTACTACTACTACTACTACTACTACTACTACTACTACTACTACTACTACTACTACTACTGCTGCTGCTGCTGCTACTACCACAACTACAACTGCTGCTGCTACTACTACTACCACCTTTAATTGTTTTGCAAACCCCTCTCCCCCTTAAAAAAATAATAATGGGGGGGGGGGGGGGGCGCAGAACCCCGGTCCCCAGGCCTATGTGAGCAACCCTCCCAAATTACCCCCCCCCCCCCCCCCCCGCTTTCTACCCACATCCAGTCTTTTTTTTTTTACCCCACCCTGTCTTTTTTTCCCAGTCATGAAACAAATTATGTCTTCTCTGTTAACATATAATTCTAAAACGAAGGACTGGCTGACTATTATTCTAAGTTAGGATAGACGCATACTCGACAACATTGTTAAGGTAGGCCAGTATGGTTGTTTATTCTATTTGAAGTGGCTTGATTAATATTTAAAATTAGCTGCCTTTAACACCTGAGCACCCAAATTTCTTCGCCTATTGTGTAGCTTAACTTGCAGTGCTATGTCTGTCTGTCTGTCTACGAATCTGTCTGTCTGTCCGTCCGTCTGTCTGTCCGCCTGTCTTTATGTCTGCCAGTCTGTCCGTCCGTCTATTGTCTTTCGCTGCTGAATGATGTTAGGCGTGCATATTGTTGAGTTGAGCTTCAGTAAGTTATTAACCATATCTATTCATATTCTTTTTTTCTATTCCGCGGTCTCCTAATGTTATGTTATCATAATCGACGTCACTACACATTGAGCATTTCTATGTATGATCAGTCCTTCAATGCGGTAATCGTTTCAACGTATTTCTACTAATGGTTCACATGAGAGTTTGGTAATAATATCTCCTATCTTGGTGGCATAGACGTGCTTCATCGTACTTTACTCCCCTGTCACGCAATCGTGTTAGTGTCAGACAATCGTCATTATCTGCCTCTTATTGATTCCATTATCATGTTCATTCTGGCCAGGTGTCCAAAACATTTCAGTCTTTGATTTTTCAATAAATCTAATTACAGGTGTTGTTCCCACCATTCTAATGATAACTTGGTTTCTGTTATGGTCTCCTTTTGTTGTGTCAAACATAACTATGTCCTATGCGAGCATGAATAATTTGATTGAAATGGTTAGAGGTAAAAGGCCTCCCTAAATGTGCTATGTCGTCATCAGTTTGTGAGCACCAGTGCGGGCCTACTGTTGTCAGTAACTACAACATACGGGTTCCGATTTAAGCCTCAAATTCCTTAATACCTCCATTTTGTTGTGGTGTTGTTTTGGAGGTATCAAGAAAACACTTATCAGTGAACTGAATTTTTGTCTGTGGTCATTGTTCTCTATTCTCACGTGAGTTAAAATGGAGGAAGCCTCAGAGGACGACTTTTGGAGTAGCAGTGTGACGATTTTGTCATTTTGATCACACTGGGTTTAGTTGGAATATGAACGAGCGAACGAACAAACACTAAATTAAAAGGCCTCTTCTTGAGGACCTGTTGTTCTATCATGATGATGGAGCTGTACATAGAGACATTAACTGGCACAGCCTTTGAACTTCGCGTGTCGCCTTTCGAGACAGTTATGTCAGTGAAAGCGAAGATTCAAAGGCTTGAAGGTGAGGTATAACTAAAAACATGACTTTAAAGTTTAGTAAAGTCAGAGTAGATTTATTCTTTGTAATAATGATATTTACAAACTATTAATTATAACTGTACACTTCTTGACTTGGTCTTTACTCTACTGAAGTGTGCATGAATTATCTTTCGATTACTGTTTTATTTTAAAGAATGTTTTGGACTTTAATTTTAACGAGTTTATTTTTTTTTTTTAAACACACACACCCAACAGTATCTTCAAGTACTTCAACTTGTTGACTATGAGTATGGCAGATAATCAAAATTTTCGAGTCATCATGCATTAATTTGATGAATTGGTGTGCTGTCATCTTTCTTTACTGTCATGACAAAAGACTGTCAGAAGACTTCTGATCTTTTTGTATTGTTCTCTTCTACTTCGTATTTTGTCAATCTTGTTGCTGTTGCCTACAGTATTATGTTGCAAACAGTATGAACCAGAATATTATTATTATTTTTTATTGTTAATAACACATAACAACACTATTTAATCTCTTTCCTTTAAAAAATGTTTTTTCAGCCCAAGCTAGCTATATTTTAATAGAAAAGGTCAAAGTATCGGCACTCTTCCGAATACCGGCCCCCATATTATTTGCTGTCCAAAACATTCCTGTTAGAGCCTCAAAGGGTTCAAGAGGTTACAAAGAGGTCAAGGGGTTATAAAGGAGTTATACAAAATATGGTACAACAAAAAATGGTACAATACGTAGATCATCATCAGTTTCCACATCTGCGCGTTAAGCGTTGTGAGAAATAGTTTTCGATCGACTGAAGTGACGTGGGGAGGAATAATTTTCGATCCATCGGAGCTCTGAAGTGACGTGTTATACAAAATATGGAACAACAAAATATGGAACAATACGTACCAATAATGCCGTGAAATAATTGAGGCCATCATCATCAGTTTCCACATCTGCGCGTTAAGCGCTGTGAAGTAGCGCTGTGAAGTGACGTGGGGAGGAAAAATTTTTGATCCATCGGAGCGCTGTGTCGATGGGTAGGTCGATGGGTAGCAACGTTAAGATCATCATCATCAGTCTTCACTTCTGCCGTTAAGAAATAGTTTTCGCTGCACTGAAGTGACGTGGGGAGGAAAAATTTTCGATCCATCGGAGCGCTGTGTCGATGGGTAGCAACGTTAAGATCATCATGATCAGTCTTCACTTCTGCCGTTAAGCGCCGTGAAATAATAATTGAAGCCATCATCATCAGTTTTTCACTTCTGCGCAATGTTTAAAGTTTAGCACCGTGGGGAGAAATAGTTTTCGATCGACTGAAGTGACGTGGGGAGGAATAATTTTCGATCCATCGGAGAGAAATAGTTTTCGATCGACTGAAGTGACGTGGGGAGGAATAATTTTTGATCCATCGGAGCGCTGAAGTGACGTGGGGAGGAAAAATTTTCGATCCATCGGAGCGCTGTGTCGCTGGGTAGCAACGTTAAGATCATCATCATCAGTCTTCACTTCGGCTCTACTGACAAATCCGGACGAAGAATAAACAGCCTTGGACGACTTAGAGTTCTCTCCCGTGGCCGCACTCCAAACAGTGATCGGAAAAGCCACAACGAAACAAACGACACAAGAAGCAACATGGCAGTTAGACGCACTCACATAACTAACATCGTTATTCCGACGCACGACTTAGTTGCCACGGACGTAACTCCTGTATGCCATAATGACATAAGTATGCGTGGTTGCGGTGGCTAACTGAGCATAGTCTGATAAGGAACACGCAACCGTGTACCTCATGCACGCGGCCAATGTTCCTATATCCCCGGCAAGACTGTAGCGACAGATACGGTTGGCGATGTTATCGCTGTAATACTAGGTGTAGTGTTCGCACTGGGTCGTTTTTCGCCAACAGCGACATGTCGACCGAGAAAATACTCATGATGATGTACTACCTGCTCTCCGGCGTAAGTTCAGCGACTGTCATGGTCCTCGAGAGACTCACGAACTGGCACACCATTGTCAACTACAAGAATTATTTCCGTCAGGAATGCTATAATTGGATGTTGAGACACACCGTGGAGCTGGGAGGACTCGATGAGACCGGCAGATCTATCGTGGTCGAAGTAGACGAGAGCTACTTCTTCCGACGAAAGTATCAGCGCGGTCGCATCAGTCACGGTCGTTGGATCGTCGGGCTAGTAGAGCGTGAGACTGGCCGTTGCTACTTGGAGCTTGTGCGAAAACGAGATGCGGCGACATTGGAGAGGATTATAAAAGATTACGATACGATACGGGAACGACCATCGTGACTGACGCTTGGCGAGGCTACAGCAACGTGGCAAACTTACGGCATGGCATCTATCTGCACGAGGTAGTAGTCCACCAGACCAACTTCGTCGACGCCGTACACAGTCACATACACACACAAACAATTGAGGGCCTCTGGATGCTGGTGAAACGCACCATTCGCCAACGATTGGGCACCAGCCGCACACTATTGGCGTCATATTTAGCAGAATTTCAGTGGCGCCACGCCCACAAACATCAGATTGTCGGCCACTATTTCGAAACCCTACGTCAAAATTTTAACATCTAACCCTACCCCTAACCCTAACCCTACCCCTAACCCCCCACCCCCGCTCCTTTTCTCCCTCCACACAGTGGAATTTTTTTAAAGAAAGATACATAAGATACACACAATATATATATATATATATATATATATATATAATACACAAAGCATATTCAATCAGATTATTAAATTACAAGAAGCGAAATCAGGATTTTAGAAGGAATAAAAACTGTCGGCCTGTTTCTCTAAATATCTAATGCATTTGATGTATATTAAAGAGAGCGCTGCGTTATACCTGCAACAATATCATATCTACTTTGATGGATTTTAAAATACCAAGATGTGTAGTAGAAACGACATAGCAGAGAAGATATACTTGGCTACAACTTATCTAAACACAAGAGGATGTTCAGTATCAATGAAGTGTGTACCACCTGCTAGTGCGGTCACTGAGAAAATGAAATGACAGACGAAAAGAAGGAAATGCAGAAAACAAAATGCAATACACTTTCCGTCAAAGAAAAGTGGCAACTCTGCCAATAATATTTGACAGTTATATGTCGAAATTGTGGCACAACAGCTGTAAATACTGTCCAAAAACATGTTCTTTGTGACTGTGGCGCCACTGAAATTCGGCTAAATATGTATTAAACAATGCACGACTAGTGCCGCCTTGGAAACGCTGTTTCCTTTTGACTTGCATCCACAGCCCTTCAATTGTTTGGGTGTGGATGTCTCCGTGTACACGGTCAACAAAATTAATAGCATGAACAACAACGAGATGTTCATATATGCCATTGTTGAGTTGACCAACGTTGTTGTAGCCTCGCCAGGCATCGGTGACAATCGTCGTTCCTGGTAACACATGCTCACTTATGATGCGTTCCAATGTTGTCGCATCTCGCCTATTAACAACTTCCAACCAGCAACGGCCACTACCACGTTCAACTAGCCCAACTACCCATTGACCATGACGAAAGTAACCACGATGGTACTTGCGGTGGAAAAAATAGCTCTCGTCAACTTCAACAACCACTGACTGTCCGTTAGCATCAAATCCTCCCAACTGAGGGTTGCTAAGCAGCAGCCAGTTGTAACACTCTACCCGAAAATAATTGTTATAGTTGACTACTGTATCACAGCTTGTCAATCTCTCAAAAAACATCACATTTTTTTGCTTGACTTCGAACAACCAGTAAAACATTACCATCACAATTCTTTCAGTTGGGAGTTCACAATTAGCGAAGAACGAACCCGTCCGTACACTGCAACGAGTATTACAGTGACGACATCGCCATGAGAATCTATCGGAACATTCTAGCCTTGACACTAATGACATCCGACGGTTGCAAGACGAACAGTCTACTGAGTTCCATATTATTCTGTGCATAGCGAGCCATTGCAACCACTGTAGTTTATCGTCCATTATTCTATATAAATCATCAGGTCTGACATCTACAGCTGCCAGTTGATCAACTTGTAGAATATTATTGCTTATAAGTTTTGGAGCCGATGGTCTGCCTGCCATAATTAAAAGTAGCTGCACAAATTATCAAAGAAATATTTCCACTTTATTCGCAACTTTTGCCGATAAGCAATTAATTATCTACGCAAGTGCACAAATTCGCAAAGAGACTGTGACGAGGTGCATTCGGTGAGTCCAGAATTCCTTCTAAACGCAACAACAACAAAAGTACACAAGTCCAACAGAAACCTTTACAAAGTGAAACAATGAGGTGACTGAACAGCAAACCCAAGCGATCTTCCTAGCAGCGATCAAAGTGTCTGACCAACCAACAATTTATCTCAGTGGAATTTAACGTTAGCTTAACAGCTGGACCAGGGAATGCATCTACGTTGAAAAATTATGCAATCTTCCAGTCGAACGGACAAAAGACCTGAACTTGCGGACGGGCAGGTGGCTAATTACCACGGGTTAGAGTTGAGACGTAGCGGGCATTCTCAGACCAGTCGACAACTTTGATGTCCAGAGTTCAAACAGGATAGCGGGTCCAGTTGTCTAAGCAAGCGAATTTCGCACATTAATGTGATACACGTAATCTACCTAGTGATGTCTAGTGATGTTACAACATACTCGTAATCACAAGGGCGGCTGACAAGAATGTTGTAAAAGGCAACTAATTAGGACTGCTGAAATCAGATGTGTTGGGGCGAAAGGCGCAGATATCGCAACCTAGCACGAAAGGCGCAGATATAGCAGCGTATTTGTAAACCACAATACACTATGCCAACCGCCATTTCAAGGGCGAACAAAAAAAAAAAAAGGAGATTAGCTGCCCGTGACATGACCATTGAGCATTTCGTAAAGGCGCAGATATCGCACCCTTTTGAAGAAAAAAAATAGAAAAATATTTTTCTTTTTTCCTTTGGCCCGCCGGAGAATCGAACCCCGATAAACCTGATCACCGGCGTAACAAGCAGACTGCATATCAACTATACTAGCGAAGACTCGGTAATTTCGTTCAAACTAACTTATATAATAAAAGAAGGCATTTCCTGTTCCATATTTTTAACAACATGACCTCTTAGGTCCCTAACAACGACCTCTTGAGGCCCTGAATGGGATTTTTTGTCTTTGAATAATATGGGGCCGGTATTCGGAAGAGTGCCAAAGTATCAGTTTACAAATCAAACTTAGTAAATAAAATTATGAATTATCTTCTATTGACTTTAAAGGCAAAACCCCTGATTAGTTGACTTTTATGACATGCTTGTTATGGGGCAATGGTCCCGCCCCCTATCCCCCACCCCCAGGTGCCCAGGAACCCATGATCCTTCCTTCCTTTCTTTGCACATACAGAAAAAAGAAGCTTGACCACGTTCAACCTGCTGTTAGCTAGCTGAAGTTGTCAACAGTCTCTGGTTGTATTTGTGGTCTGGTTTATTTGCGCCACTTTTGTGGCTACGGTTCTGGTATTTATGCCAGCTCTCTGGCTTAGTCCTTCTTCCCTTAAAGTCAGACCGCTCGATCCTTACCTGTGTCTGAGTGTGTTTCTCCTGACCTTCTATTTCTGATGTTTTCCTCTTGGTTCATGCTCCTTCTAATTTGGCTAGCCATATCTCGTAAAATACCAAGCTTTCCACACGTGATCATTTTAGACCACCATTTATAGTTTTTAGATTTTGAGTTTGTTCACTTTGCCAAAAATTACTGAAAACAGTTTTTTGGTTTTGGAAAGATCCAAAATTGTGAAAAAATTATGCATGTAACCATAGTGGTCTTATAGTTGTCTTCCTGTAATTAGAGCGGGTTAGTCATGTCATGGTGATGTGTATGGAATGATAGGTGAAGTGTCACAATGATTCTAGCCATCATTTGTCCTAGTGTGTTCCTGTTGTGGAGGTTTGGGTTGGTTGATGGGCTCTGGTGTTCGTAAGTAACAGATCCATGAAACACCGAACTAAAGTGCTCTTTGTTGAATGTTGTTCATGGTTAATGCAGATGGAACTCTCATGCTCTGAAACTCAGGTGCTTGAGGATGAAGATTGTTGTGGTTTGCCGGGCAGCGGAGTGCACGCAGGTATTCCTGACATGCCATGAAACATGTGCTTCAGAGAAGACCCTTTGTTTGGGCGGGTGGGGGAGGGGTGGGGGGTGTCATGGGTTGTACTCATAGTGCAATGTGAAGATTGTTGGAGGGAAAGGAAAGTGGGGTCAGGGAAGAGGGTATAAAGCCATTCTTATTGTTTTAGCTGCATTTACTTCTGGGTGGTCATCATTCTCCATCGTTGTCCTGACTGTCATGTTGGATTCCAACATGGCTGGTCAGTTAAGTAGTCGGAGGGATCCAGCCCTCATCATCACACCTTTGGGTAGAAGTTGGTGGTTAGGAGCTCTGGTTTTTGTCAGTATCGACCCATTTGTCCACCCTGTTTGTCTGAGCCCATGATGGTGAACTCACATATTTATAGACCGATTGTCACTGGGTGGATGTTACGGTCACCATCACGCTGACCACCCTTACTTCTCATGAATCTGGGACAACCTGGAGCCAAGATAATTTGTTGCCAAATCTGCCCTGTGTGGACCTTTTGGGTTGGCAAGCAGCATCTAATCACTACACTGCCACAACTCTCACACTTATATTAGATCCTAATCACACAGGGCAGGGGGTTGGCCAGCGGTCATTGTGGAAGCAGAAATTCAACAATTAATGCATGGCATGTGCCAGCCTGGTGATGGTTCTGTGTTAATATGCATAAGATGCGAGTGGGTGTTCAGTGCACAAGTGAATGAAAAGCCAAGTATATGAAACTTAAAGATCTGATTTAAGAATAGAAGTGAAAGCACACTCCCTTTTGGGTCCTGGGCCCTCATTTGGGGGAGAAAAGAATAGACCCCCCCCTCCCCTCACCCCATCTCTCTCTCTCTCTTTCAACCAACCATCATGTCCCAAAAGGTGACTAATTGGGGATTTACTGAAATTGGATGTGTTGGGACAAGAAACATACTCACACATACACATGTGCCCACTGGCACTGGCGTCCATAATCTTGTTACAATTTCTGAAAAATATAAAGAACCCTTTTCCATGCCTCTATACCTATTGTATATATAGGGCTAGACCTATATTTTGTAGACCAGTTGGCACTTGGTAGGTGATGTGGTCAGCATCACACTGGCCACCTTACTTCCCCCAGGACTTGACCTAGTACCCATTTAAGATTAGACCAACCTGGGTGCCAATGTCATTTAAAAAATAAAATAAAAACTCTGGCTCCATCAGATTTACATGTGAGTGCCTAGCCGCTACACCACAGTGGCTTCCAGTGCCATGCATAATCTTGTGAAAATTTCTGATACATGCAAAAATGTAGATTTTTTTTCTTTAATGTTCACTGTTGTTTTCTGCATAATCCAGGTATTCCCATATCTCACCAACATCTCATCTGGCAGTCCACGGAGCTGGAAGACGACTTCTGCCTGCATGACTACAACATCCACAGTGGTGCCACCCTCAAGCTGGTCCTGGCTGTCAGGGGAGGTCCAATCAACACACGGAGAAGTATGTCTTCTGTCTTACTGACTGGTTGTTCTATGACTAACTGGATGTTTTATGTACATTTTCTGTGTCTAACTGGATGTTTTGTATAGATTTTCGGTGACTGACTGGATGTTTTGTGTATATTTTCTGTGACCTAACTCGATATTTTGTGTACATTTTCTGTGACTGACTGGAGGTTTTGTGTACATTTTTTGTGAGTGGCTGGATGTTTTGTGTAGATTTCCTTTGACTCAACTGGATGTTTCATGTATGTTTGCAAGTGATATTTACGTTTTACACAGATCACAGCAAATCTTGAGGCCATTGAAACAAGTTTCATAAGCATCCTAGTATCGTTTTCAGGGGGGGGGGGGGGGGGGGGGGGGGGGGGGGGGGGGGGGGGAGTAGACCCACTGCATGTCATAAAAGGCCCCTAATTTAGATTTTTCTGAAATTGAATGCGTTGGGCTAGGAGGTGCAGATATCACAGTTTAACTGTAAACCACAACACAATGCACCAGCAATTCTTTAAAAGGCAAATGCAGAAATAGTAGTAGTAGTATTCTTCTTCTTCTTCTTTCCGTTCACCAGCTGTAAACTGGCAGAAGTTCTGGTTTTTCATCAACTTCTGGACTACAGTTGTGTTCCAGAACCTGAGTGTCGCATGTGCATCCGTTTTACAGATCTGACTCATTTGTATGCATACTGCTGGTTCCTTGCCTCTCCAGCAGATGCAATCCGACTTTGAAGAAAGCTCCCAATTACGACATGCTTTTGGGTAGGCAGTGGGTCTATTCTTGTTTTCCCCCCTACAGGGCCCCGGAACCCACACTGGGAAGTAATAGTAGTGTGTTTGGCACTCTTAGATATGGAAGAAGGAAGCAGAGGCTAGAGGACACACTAAACAGCATGAAGATCGAAAACTATAGTAACTACACCAGGGATCGAAGATATCACATTCATATAAAGACCGCCTGATTAGCAGGAACAGGTGTACTTCCATGCATGACCATTTAGACACCACGGAAAGGTTCGTCTTTGGCAAGATCCGAACCTAAACCAGTGATGGAATATTAAGAGATTTTGTGTCTAACCAGTGAAATAGCACCTTAGTTAGAGAAATTATCAATAGGCTGTACTAGAAACAAAACAACCTTACGAAATTGATGAATATTAAAGCCCGGCTCTCTAGCGTAGTTGGCTAAACCGGATTGCGTGGTGAGCGGGTGACAAACTCCTTGTGGTCCGGGTTCACTCCTGGGGTTAGGCAGAAAAGCCACATTTTCTCCCAGATTTATGGTATTTACAATGGAATCAAGGCCAAAAGGTTGCGATATCCATAATACCGAGCCTAAGGGTTAACAACTCATGGCTTCTGGATACTAAAAAAAAAAAAAATATTCAATGGAATGAGTTCAAGAAATGTGAAAAATTAGAGAAATGTCCAGACCACCTCTGGTATCATCAATTTTAAGACAGAGACAATGACAGTGTATTGGACACATCCTTAGGAGAAATGGACAGAGATCACCAAACAGGCACTGAAATGGGAAACAAATGGATTGAGTAAACAAGGAAGTCCAAAAGAAACCCTAAGGCGAATGTTAAGAGAGGCCAAAGCTGGTTAATTCCATCCATGATATTAAAAGGATAGAACAAAATAGAAGACTGCACTGTGAGCCCTATATGCTGTATAATTACACAGCAACATAATGATAAATGATAAGTGATATTGAGGCACATGTGGATCGAAAGGTCATGGAGCGGCTAGAGCCACTTTTTTGTCAAAATGTGGATCAGGTCAAAAGGTAGTGGATTCCAGTCCTGGGGAAGTAAAAGGAGCCACATTTTTTTGTGTAAAATATAGCATTAGCCCTGTATGCCCAGGACAATCATGGAAAGATCCCTTTAGTGGGTACCATGTGTTTTGAGGAAGTAAAATTGTTTGTCCTATGCCGGCCACATAAACCCACCTAGTGCTAGTGTCAGATCTGTAAAATATCAATGTTTAGTACCCTGACTATGCTCTTCCAATGGAGGCAAACTTAAGGCATGCCAGGAAAGTGTAACTCCTTGTCTTTCGAGATAGCTAACTTCTTTCGGGTTGTTGATACGGCAATGGCAGTCTAATGTGTTTGAGTATATAGATTGATGTTTATTGTTTGTTAATTGATACCTATGGCAGCTTGGTTAAAGTAAAATTTGAAATGTCAGTATTGTTGGTTAAAATATAACGAGGAGAAGAGGGAAGGACTTAGGAACGAGGCAGATAGTAATGAACAATGTTGGCATCCTACTCTGCTGTGCAAAATTAGATTCTTCTTTTCCCACTCCTGTCATACATTATTTAATTCATAATCTTTTATAACAGTAAACACCATCAAAACAACTACATATTGTAAATGCTGTAAAATATGCTTGCATTTCTAAACATTAATAATTCTAAGTGTAATAGTTACAATAAATCTAGGAGAAGTATATCATATGCTCAAAATACTATTTTTCTTTTAAGGAGGCATGTAGTCTGCATTAGTAAATAGACAAAACACTAACAGTGTTAAGACACTAACTTCTGAACATAATAGAACATTTCATCTAACATAATATTAATATAATATTTTATTTAACATGAGATCAAATCTGTATAGAGTTTAGTGCGTGATTGTTTTACAGAGAATGACAGCATGTTATCCTCCAGTGCCATGACAGAAGGCTGTCAGAGAGTACTGTCATGTTACCTTCTTGTATCTTTCTTTCCACAAATTGTTCCAGTGGTCACAACATGCTCTAGTTTGTCTCTTCTCATAACATTGCCAACAAATGCTGATTGTCTTTTTAAAATGTTTCTGGTAAGTTGTCTTTGAGCCCTCGCCTCTTCCAGTACATTGTAGTTACTCCTTTTTGGCTTTCCAAGGAATTTTTAGCATTTATCTGCAAAACTACACCTTTGAGGCCTGGCTTGTTTATTAAATGTCCAGGTTTCAGATCCATCTGTTAAAACTGGCTCTATATTACATGCATGCATTCTTTTCTTCACATTTAGGGGCTGTAAACTCTGGCGGAAAGTTCCGGTTGTTTGTCCACCTCTGGACTTTAGTCTTGTTCCAGGACCTGAGTGTTGCATGCACATCCGTTTAACACATCTGGCTTAATTGTATGCAGATTGTTGTTTTCTTGCCTCTCAGGCAGGAGGACTTTGAAGGAAGCCCCCCAATTAGTCGACTCTTACGACACACTTGTTGGGGAGACTGTGGGTCTGTTCTAGTTTTTGCCCACAAGGTAGACCTGGAACCCAGGGACATTCTTGAATTATTTTTTCTAACCCTTTGTAACAGATGTATTGCATAAGTAATTAATTTAATAAAGTGCAGTTTTTGCCCATAATTTTGCCTGTTTTTGCAGTAAAATGAGGCATATTGAAATAAAACCAATCACCTAAACTTAAATTGCTGTGGCTTTGTTATAAACATGTGAACGATTTATTAGCTGGTGTTTCGGAATTAAACAAAGCAACAGAAAAAATGTATGTAGGCTTTGAGACATACATCCAAGACCTTTGAGGGCAAGTGTACAGTAAATATATCATCATGATCAGTAGGGAAGCTTGCAACGGAGAGTGATCAGACTGACACTTATCACTCAGGGTACATACAGTGAGACTGCTACTGTAACCGTTGGATTTGGAACTCTGTACTGGCTGCTGAAGATGAGGATGGATTGCTTCTGGGAATGTCTTGAGTGCTGTGATGTCTGTTCTTAACTCAGCTTAATGCTACAAGCATCCCACTTCTAGGGAAAACAGCAGATACAGTTGTAAAAAATTATTGTTTTTGGTTGCTGATTATACCGTTTGGTCACTGCTATCATGAAATATGTGTCGGTATGGCATTGTTGACCCTTGAAAGGTTTCATAAAGACTTTGAACGTGTGAAAGTCACCGATCTGGACTGTAGACTTCGTAGACTGGTGAGGTAAGATGCTTAACAAAACTATTTAGCCTCTTTAAGATATTTTCTGCTGGAGATGGAGCACCTATGGGTATGCCCCGTGTGCTAAGATGCCAATTCTTAAATCAGTATTTAGTAATTTAGCCTCTTGAATGTTAGTTGTATTTATTTTACTTAGTTTTTTTTAAATTTGCGGGCAGATGAGTTAATGACTTATTTCTCTCTAATCGGTTCATATGTTCTGTCAGATCTTAGCTTTTATAGGCATCTTTGAAGAAAGTAATTGGCTATTGCTTTCTTTCTTTGCGGTGTCCATGCTTGTCAATGACTGCCCCAACCTTCATAATATACAGTTATTCTTCTTCATCTTTTGCATTTACCCTTAAAGGGATGGTTGGTGCATTGTGTTGGTTTACAGCTAGGTTGCTGTGATATTTGGACCTTTTGTCCCAGTACATCCCATTTAAGCCAATTGACTCTTCTGGAATCAAGGCACACACCTTATGTTGATTTGTATCTAATTTAACTATCCTCTGATACTGCAAGAGTTAACTAGTCGACTTTTACAACATGCTTGTTAAGGAGCTGTGAATCTGTTATCACCCCCCACCCCCCCTTCCCCACCCCCCTGGCCAGTGGAGTCCTATAACCCACATGGCGAATACACAGTTACGATTAGCTACAATTATGACAATAGATACTATAGGCTAGCTACACCAGTATTTTATAAACCAGTTGGCTCTTGATGGATGATGTAATCAGCATCATGCCAGCCATCTTGACTTCCCAGAAGTACACCTGGTATCTACTCAAGGCTGGGAGCCAAAGTAATTTTTTTTATAAATTCCAGCTCCGTCAGGACCCAAATCCACAACCTTCCGATCCGCAGGCGAGGGTCTAGCAGCTACACCACGCGGCTCACATGTAAACCTTAAAGTTATTAACTTATTTTATTGATATATTTTTTCAGCAGTCCTGTTTATAATGTTCAAGATGATGATGATGACGACGATGATGATGTGCAGAGTAGAGAGACGCTTGAAGAGAATAGTAAGATGAAGGAGAAAATGGATCAGCTGCGAATCAATATGGAGAAAATCAGCCTCACCAAAAAGGTGGGTAGTACACTGAACATTACCACGTAGATGAAAGTGAAGAAATTCACTGCTGTGCAAAATGAACGGTAGACGAGTTCACTGGAGTTCTCTACACCAGGAGTAGAGAAAAGAAGAAGTAGTAGACAAGCTGAGCTGTCCTTCTTCTTTTTTTTCACTGACTGTTAATTCCAGTTGAAAGTTCTGTTTGATCGTTTACTTCTGAACTGTGGTTCAGAACTTGAGTTTTTGCATTCACATCCATTTTACATATCTGACTTATTTGTGTGGAGACTGTTGATAAATTAATTCACCACTACACTTAAGTAAACAATTCACCACTGCACAGCACAGGTCATCTGATAATAACTTCCTCACCATGTAATTGGATTTATAAAAGAGTAGATGGAGATTAAATTTCCATAGAAAAAATTTAATTTTATGAAAATCTGCCGTACACTGTAGAGAAATATATGAGTACTTCTGAAAGTTCCTGTTCTGTCACCAAGGTAGATCAGTATAGTCTCTTGGCATATAACACTTGTTGGGATGTAAAGTATTAGGCCTTCACATATTCTCGGCCATTGGTTTGAAATGTGATGCTTGTTGCCTTTCCTGGCTCTTGGAGTTATGAATAAGAAAGAGGATTGGAACCAGGCAAGTCTTGGCAACTTTTCTTTGTGGAAGCCTGCAAGAACTGCATAAAGCAATACAGTGTGTGCAGGAAATTACACTGATCCTACTCTGACAAAAATAATAAAAGAAGAATACAGCACGTGTATGCAGGAAATTACACTGATTTTGTTTTAATCAAAAGAATATTAAAGAAGAAGACAGTACAGTTCGTGCAGGAAATTACACTGATTCCAATTTAGAAAAAGCAGTACGGTTCATGCAGGAAATTAGTTATGGCAAATCTGACAGCTACCTCATGCATTTACTTTGCGTGTGTGAGCCTCAAGATTTTGCTAGGACTGATATGTTTTTCACTAGTGTTTAAAATGAGACAGTGAACGACGTTTTTTTGTTGTTGTAATTCTCACTGGCTCATGTTTGGAGCAGTTATGGGGTGACAGGCCTGCAGTGAAGTTAGACCTTGACTTCTTCTTATTCTTTACGTCCTCTTTTACCGCTTCTAGTGTCGAGGGAGATATAAGGTGCTGTAGAGTGTTTCTGATGTTTTCTTTCAATATTGTTCTCGGTCTGCCTCTTGCTCTACACACCTCTCCTCTTTTGGTGTTTGCCTTGTATGGTATAGCATCAGAAGGCATTGTCTCCAAGTGGGCAAACCATTTGATTTGCTGTCTTTGTATGTAATTTAGAATTGGTTCTGTGCCGACTTTATCTCGTATCACCTCATTCATGGTTTGATCTTTTCTGGTCACTCCTACAGACACCTCATTTCCATGGTTACTAATTTAGATTTTGACTGACTTATCTAATAAACTTTTCATATGTTATTTTTATTAACTGAAAAAAAAATGATGTATATTGATTTTAAAAAATGTGTGTGTTTTGTTTGTTGTTTTTACTCAGAAAATTGTTGACCTAATTTCCAGAAAAAGCACTTGAAGGCTCCATCACCTGGACCAGGCCCCCACTCTAGTGTGGCACGCATGAGACTGCGGGGCCTTACCAGTGCCGGGAGATCACCCAGCGCTACCCTAGCACAGACGCTCAACAAGAATATGTGCCTGCCTCCTGTGGGGCACACTTTTGTCGGTTCTCAGATTGCGGAAGTTGATGCTTCCTCTGGAGCCACAAGTTCTTACTCTGTAGCTGTGAACACATTGGCTCAAACTGCAGCAGCAGGAGAATCGGAACCCTCACTGCTGGCAGTGACAACAAAAGCCGCAGCTCTTTCCATCACAACAGCAGACGCCAGTGTTCTAGACAAAAGTGAGTCTGCTGCCTCACAAGCAGAAGTTGTTACAGTCACCAGCAGTGAGATGAGTGATGACATTGGAGCAGAGGGCGGTATTACAACCTCCAATACAACCACCACTTATGTTTCAGCTACTGATGTTCCACCACTCATACCCCATCCTCCTTTTGGTGGAACCAGCCTTCGTCGGGGTCTTCTAAGACTCAGTGGACTATCGGAAACGGCTCATAATTTTACAGCAGCATCGGCCAGAAGACATGAGGCATTGTCGGTGCTAGAGACACTTCAGGAAGCAAGAAGTCTGAATCACCCACATTTTCTGGGTGGGACGGATGATGAAAATAGCAAGATGCCTGGAAAGAGAAAAGTTTCTGAAAAATGGAACAGTTCTACAGCTGGTCATGCTGTCTGCGGCGACCCATACAAACGTTCCCCAATTTCATCCAGAAAGGACTTTGTGTTGGATTCTTTTTTGCGGCCAGCAACTACGGCTCGTCGCAAAGACTTTACTCTTGGAGGTTTGAACAGCAGTGAGACCTGCGCAATGTCTGGTATATTGCGGCAGGCTTCGATTGAAAAAATTGGCTCCTCCCACATAGGCAGCATTGTAAATAGTGCTAGCAAATCACGGCTCGGCGGTTACGGTGGTGTTCAGGAAAGTGGGCGGATTTCTACGCCAGAAAATCATCTGCTGGTAAGTTAAAAGCTGTATTACTGTTCACCGTGTTTTATAATCTTCAAGGTGTTGAATTGTTTGAGCCAGTCTTATTGTTTCATACTGTTTGAATGTATCATTCGTATATTTCTTCACCCTTTAACAGTAAGCATCTTATGTCCTTATACTGTGTGATTGTTCATATTCATATCATGTGTTCACACTTTTTGATAGTTGCATGTCTATCTCATTAGTTTATATTCTTTGACAGCTTGACACCGATATCATTACTTCATACTCTTTGACAGTCAATGCATATCTCAGTTGTCCATAGTTAGACAGTCCATACAGATATTATTTGTTTACGCTGTTAGTATCATTAGTTTAAACATGTTGCCAGTATCTCTGGTGTGAGGCCTCCACTGCTGAAGAACACATTTAAACGCAGCTGGAGTTATGCTGCTTGTCATGGTGTTCGTGATATGTTTATTCTTTCCATTGTATGGAAACTTATGGGACACCCTGCCTGTGTGTCTGAATCACCCATATTTTCAGGGCGGAATAGGAGATGCAAATAGCAGGATGCTCGGGAGAGAAACAAGTTTCTGAAAAATGGAACAGTTCTTAACTGGTCCTGCTTTCTGCTGTCCCAAATTTAATCTAGAAAAGACTTTGTTTTAGATTACTAAATTTCACCAACCTTCGCCCCCCCCCCCCCTTCCCCGATCTTATTATTATTAGTTTGTTCTGTCTGACATCTAAATATGTCTAATTATTTCACACTATTTGACAGTCCATCTTATTTGTCTTTCTGATTTGTTCACTGTTTGGCATTCTACATATACCTCAGTTGTTCATTGTTTTGTTGTTCTTCTCTTTTCCCTCTTGTAGTTTGAGGGCATGTATGGAATTGATGTTGTACTTGTCTGCTTATTGCTATTTTGTGGAATGCAGACATTTTGTTTTGTTTGTTGTTCGTCCGTGATGAAGACCACTCTTTCTTTTGTCCATCATGAAACTACTAGTTGATTGTCAGTGAGTCCAGAGGTTGATTGTCAGTGAGTCTAGAGGTTGATTGTCAGTGAGTCAAGAGGTTGATTGTCAGTGAGTCCAGAGGTTGATTGTCAATGAGTCCAGAGGTTGATTGTCAGTGAGTCCAGAGGTTGATTGTCAGTGAGTCCAGAGGTTGATTGTCAGTGAGTCCAGAGGTGACTTATAAACCCAATAGGGGCCCAGAAGGATCTAGGGCAATAAAGGCAGAGAATAGTGTCTTAAGGTAAAGGGCCTCTTATAAAGTCTGTCTAGCCTGCCTGCACTGTTCAGCTGCATTTTTTCTAGATTCCTAACAAGTTGCTGTGCCTTTTCAGATAGTTCAGATGGACGTTCACCATATTTTCTGGTCTTGAACAGTAGTCTCTCAAGTGTCAAGGTTTATTTTGAAGGCTTTAAATTTTACCGTGTTCTTGAAGAATTTTTTTCTGGCCACCGTAGCGCCTACCTTCTTTTTATCTCCCACAGAAATACTGAACCACACATGGTGGTGCACCAGGACTAAGGCTGATAATGGTTAGGACCTATCTAGAGCCCTCCATGGTCATCCTAGAAACATGTCCCTAACCTGTGTAGTAAGGATCAACATTTGCTTCTATGTCACAGTGACTCTGTCTGAAAAGCAAGGAACCAACATGCTGCTCACAAGTAAACATCTAAATGTCTGAAAAGCAAGGAACCAACATGCTGCTCACAAGTAAACATCTAAAACGGATGTGCATGCAGAATTCGTCCTGGGACAAGACCAGTCCTGAAGTGGGTGAACAACCAAGATTCTTTGCTGGTGTTTGCAGCCAGTGAACACGAAGAAAAAGAAGAAGAAGCTATTCTGCAGCCAGTGTCGAGTTAAACAATGTTCATGTGTCTGGCATCTGCTGTTTAGTGCCAGACAGTGTTTCAAGTCCTTACCCACATAGTATTGCCAGTTAACACCTGGCTGGTGTAACCCTTCAGGTGCTCTACTCATTACTTTTTTTTTTTTGAGGTTAAACAGGGAGGGTATCTGGCATCTGCTGGCACAGTTAGACCAACTCTCGAGTATGCGTCATCATCATGGATAACGGCAGCCCATTCCAATAAATAGGTACTAGACAAAAGCCCCCACCGGACGAACTTGCTCTAACTACAAGGCAGAGCATCCAGCCCTACTGATGACATCACAGTATATGAACAAGCTGCAAATCACGCCAGGCAAGATGACTTTTCTCACAGACTCACTGGCGGCCATACAGGCTCTTGAGTCCAAACCTACTGACAGTACACTACAGAGTCTAACAAAGGAACTTGGCAGAAAGGCAGAAACTCACCTGCAGTGGATCTACCATCTACCAGCCACTATCTTTCCAAGAACTCAAACTCTCATTAAGAGAAAATCAGAAACAGATTAGAAAACCAACACTGGTTATAACCATGGAAAAGATTTTCTCTAACACCTGAACAGAACAGACCAAGTCAGTTTTTCCCCTTACACACTGGACACTGCAGACTTAACAAACAAACATATAAATTAATTATGAGCCAAACAGCTCTCTGCCAGTGTCTTCATGCTGAACAGACTCCAGAACATGTCATGCAAGACTGTCCTCTCTTGGCGGAGCTGTGGAGCAACATATGGCAACACCCAGTAGACCTGACAACTAAGCTTTGGGGAAACCTAAGAGACCTTGAGATGACATCCCAGTTTATAGCCCACAGTGGATGATGTGCATGACCAGAAATTGCTGAAAAAGAAGAAGGACTGAGCTTGGAGTGAGAATGAAAGCACTGCCAGTCCTTATAGTAGTAGTAGTTGTTTGGTACCTGAATGGGGGGAAAACACCTTGACACTAGCCCCACTCTGATAGATGCAAACACAGTTTCTAGCTCCAGCAAACGGAGTATCATTGTATCAGACTTTCTCCATGTGTGTCCAGGGCCCCATTATGGGGAAAACAAGAATAGACTCACCGACTACCCAGCAAGCATGTTGTAAGAGTCCACTAATTGGGAGCTTCCTTTGAAGTCAGAGGGCATCTGCCTGAGCGGCAAGGAACTGCTCACAAAGGAGCCAGCAAAATGGATGTACACAAAAAACTCAGCCCTGGCACAAAGCCAAAGTCCAAGTGGATGACAACCAGGACTGTCCCACCCGAGCTTACAGCCGGTGAACAAAGAAGTATCAGATTTAAGAGTGAACACTTGTATGTACGAAGAACTAGAAATTAACACTTGTATGTACAAAGATCAAGAAATTAACACTAGTATGTACAAAGAACTAGAAATGAACACTTGTATGTACAAAGAACTAGAAATTAACATTTGTATGTACAAAGAACTAGAAATGAACACTAGTATGTACAAAGAACTAGAAATGAACACTTGTATGTACAAAGAACTAGAAATGAACACTTGTATGTACAAAGATCAAGAAATCAACACTTGTATGTACAAAGATCAAGAAATCAACACTTGTATGTACAAAGATCAAGAAATCAACACTTGTATGTACAAAGATCAAGAAATCAACACTTGTATGTACAAAGATCAAGAAATTAACACTTGTATTTACAAAGAACAAGAAATTAACACTTATATTTACAAAGATCAAGAAATTAACACTTGTATGTACAAAGAACTAGAGATGAACACTTGTATGTACAAAGATCAAGAAATCAACACTTGTATGTACAAAGATCAAGAAATTAACACTTGTATTTACAAAGAACTAGAAATTAACACTTATATTTACAAAGAACAAGAAATTAACACTTGTATTTACAAAGATCAAGAAATTAACACTTGTATGTACAAAGAACAAGAAACTGTTAAGTGAAGAAGACTCCATGTGTGGGTTCTGGGGTCCCATTTTGGGGATACAAAGAGTGGATTTACTGCCTTCCAACAAACATGTAATACTAAATTTCAAATGGTCAGATTTCCGAACCAATACACAAATAAGGCAAGAATCCAGGCAAGAGTATGTGTCTAATTTTATACGAAAACGCCTCTGGAACTATGTCGGCCACGCCCTTAGAATGGATAAATCAAGACTTCCTTACCAAGCCCTCATTTGGACACCACAGGGGAAAAGATCTCGTGGAAGACCAAGGGAAACCCTACGTAGAACTATCATCAGGGAAGGCTCGCTCATGGGCCACTCAAACATCCAAGACCTACAACAGATTGCAACGAACCGCCATGCATGGAGAGTCATGACCTCTGCCCTATGTGCTGCACTCGACACAAGAGGAAAGACTAACTAACTAACTAACAAACATGTTGTGACATGTCATGAAAAACAACTGATTAGGAGCTAGCTGAAATTGAAATTGAATGTATTGGGCTGAAAGGCATAGATGTTGCAGCCTAGCTGTGCACACAAAAACTCATGTTTTGAAACAAGCTCAAAGTCCAGAGATTGGTGAACAACCAGAGTTTACTGCCTTGCCTCTCAGTCGGATGTACTCTGACTGCCAGGGAAGCCCCCAGTTAGTTAACTCCTACGTCATGCTTGTTGGGAAGGCACTGGGTCTTCTCTTGTTCTCTCTTCCCCCCGCCCCCCTACAATGGGGCCCCAGAACCCACACACAGAGTTTTGTATGCAAAAGTGATGTTAGTTTGTTTGTCAGTCTGTACGTAATTTATGTTGCTCGCTCCTCAGTCTGCTCGACTGCAGCGAGTGCCCGCTGTCGGTGAGAGGCAGAGAATCTCTCCCACCCACAGACTGCCACCTATGAAAGCCAAAAAGAAGCAGAAGCGATGTTTGATATGTGGGAAGAAGACCGGACTCGCCACAAGCTATCAGTGCCGGTATGTGGTAATCTTCTCCTTGCTCACCTTCAGAAGGGCGGTTTGCGTGTTGTGGTTTACAGCTAGGCTGCAGTGTCTGTGCTTTTTGGCCCAACACGTCGAGTTTCAGCGTGTCCCCAGTTAGAGTTGCCTTTTACTACTTGCTTGTTAAAGGGCAGGGGATTGGGTCCTTGGAACCCACAGGGGGATCTCAGTAGGTTTCATTTGTACCAAAACAAGAGCAGTCAGTCACCTGCCAGCCTAAGACAACCAGTAAATAGTGACAGACCAAAGTAGTTCATTACCAGCACACACTTACTTAGTCGCTCCTCTTCTACCTTGGGGTGTAGAGGTTTGCCAGAGAGATCGCCAGACGTCTCTATCAGCAGTTTTCTTTCTGGCTTTGTTCCATTCCAGTCCTCTGTCAGTTAGGGACTGTCGGATGTTGTCTTCCCAGCGCACCCTGGGTCGTCCCGGAGGTCTGGTTCCCTGGTTCTTAGCTTCCCATGCTTGCCATGGTGGCCGATTTTCTCCCATTCTGCATACATGTCCAAACCATCTTAACTGTGACTGATCCACTCGGGTTAGTAAGGGCTGGGTATCAAGATCTTAACGTATTGTCTGATTGCGGACTTTGTCCCTTCTTGTCACTTGGACCACCTTTCTCAGGCATCTCATTTCTGAGGCCTGCAGCTGGCTTCTGTGAGCTGTTGTCATTGCCCATGACTCACAAATAGCACACACACACACACTAATTAATAACTAGCGACCGACAACAAATATTGTTTTGGGGATAAGGGGTGTCTTTTACATGACTGAACAGTCCTGTTTTAACTGTATGTTACCAGGGCCTTTGGGGGAAGCTTAGAAAAGTAACACTGAACTCTACTAGGCATGTAGTTTGGGTTGACTAGAGGTAGGCTTTGCCTACCTCGTCCTGTAAAACACCATGGCAGACAGGCAGAGCTTTTCTTTTCTGATTCGGCAGCTGCTGCAGCAGGCTTTATTCCACAATATATTGATGTTACCTTCCCTTTGGAGTAAACAAGACAGGCTGAGAGAGGGATCCTGCTGCAAGGGTATTATGTAGTCTCTACAGTACTGCCCAGGTTTTATGCCGCAGTAGAGGAACTTCTCCTATGCATTCCTATAGTACAGTTTAACACTGTCGTTTGGAAAGAGAGAAAGGTGTTAACAGACAACAGTGCATGCTATGGCCAAGATAAGGATGAGTTGTTCGTGCGTCTATGCTCTGTTGAGTGGTGAAGAGGCGACCAATAACTGTCATGCTTGCTGTCCATCAAAAACAGTTCATTGCTGGTGTTGTACCTGTTTGCTTCCTTTCATCTTTTTTTTTCCTCTGAGGCATTTCTTCTTTGCTTGTACATTTTTTATTTTTTTATGTAATCTTATATCATCTTTGTCTGGTTCAATAATTGGTAGCTTATTGTTAGTAAGACAATTTTGATTCCTTTTTTTTTGCGCTCTACCTTAAAAGGGCATTTTGCATTCTAATTTGTGGCCCAGCACATCAATTTCTGCAAAACATTAGTTACCTATTGCGAAGTGCTTGCTATGAGTCAGTGGATCTGTTTTCCTATTCTTCCTAAGTGGGCTCATCAAGGAGGAGAGTTGTGACTTAAAATTTAATCAATATATTTTATAGGAACCAATTTTAGGCTTTTTTCTGCATGCTTATTACTCATTCTGTGCTGTGTCTTTTTTTTTTTTAAGGTGCGGAAATAATTTTTGTGCCAGCCACCGGTATGCAGAGTCACATGACTGCACGTTCGATTACAAGACAGAAGGCCGCAAGCTCTTGGAACAGAACAACCCATTGGTCAGCGCCCCTAAACTGCCCAAGATTTGAACCCGTCCTGAAAAATGTTGTTTCTCTCAGGGCTGCTGCATCTCAGCTGTGTTTTTTTTTTTTGGTTTTCCATTAATTTTTTTTAAAACTCTCTTTCCTGGACACAAATATTAACCTCATTTCTAAAAGTGAAATTAAAATGATTAATTAGAATTATTAATATACTTCTTAGGATGCTTAAGCAAAGAGAGTTTCTTTTAATTAACTTCCTTTAAAGTTGAATAGGAGGAGCGGTTGCCCCCCTCCCCCATCCACAACAAAAGTGATAAATACCGGGTGTAATGGCAGATTTTTACGACCAGTTTTTAAAGGTATTACTTGCATTACACATTATCATAAGAGAACTTGCCAAGATATATAGAGATGTTGTTCAAAGTTAGTTGCGTATCCTTTATACAATGTTGCAGAACCACGCTGCTGTTAATGGTTTTCCTAGATGTTCACTAGTTTTAAACTGTACAGAGTTAACAAATCAAGCATCACTTGCCAAAGTCTAGAATTATACATTTCTGGAAAACTATTTCTCTTAAACAGCATACAAAACTGCTTATTTCATTTTTATTATTCTGTTTAGGTGACTAGGAAATTAATTTAGATTATCGTGATCTGTGTTCTGCAATCTAGTTGTAGAAATATTTACATAGAATGAACCTACTGAAAGTTTTCTGAGAGTGCAGTTGAATTATCTGACGTAATATTAAATAATTGGAAATAAAGTTAGTGTCTTAACTATGCCAGATACGGACAAATGTTTTTAACAAACAGCAAACTTATTATTTATTTCCTGGTTTTTCTCTTCTCAAAGTGTTTTTTTTTTAAATCAACAGTGATGGGCAAAAATATTTGAAAATAACTTTCATTTTTATTATTGAAAAATATATATATATATAAACCCAGTTATCATAAAAAGTAATTGAATTATCCCTGTATGAAGAACTAGATATTCTTTGTGTGTTAAAAAATATTTGTTTCCTGTGAAAAATGATAGCCATTTTATTATTTACATTTGAACACATAATTAAATTGCATATAAAAAATCCTAATTCTGTTACCAAGAATAAATAAAGAACATGATGCCTATTTTTTTTTTTTAAACATTCGTTATGGAAAGTATTCTACGTATACATTACTGATGGAATCTAGACATATAAACACAGTATATGGTACTTCACTAGCGCAATCTAGATATTAAAATACAGCATATGGTAGTTTACTGATGTAATCAAAACATGGAACCTGCTATAGTATAATGTAGTTTACAGATGAAATCACGGATGTGAAAGTTCACTGATGCATCATCTTCATGGTATGCCATTCTTTAAGCATGGGCCAAGGTGATAAGTTTAGGCAGTCATTATTCACATAGTTGCAAAAGTCTCAGAACAGTACTGTCTTGTAAGGTGTGCTAGATATTATAACACAGGATGTGGTAGTTGATTGATGTTGTTAATTGAAAACCTTGGTAAAAAAATACTGAAAAAAACCAGTAAATTTGTATTCTAAACATTGACGTAAATAGTAAATTTGGGAATAAATACAACAACAAAAACACAGTAAATTTAGGGAATAAACATTGAAATAAAAGTAATTGTAGCAGAAAAACATTAAAATAAGCAGTAAATTTTATCCTCAACAATGAATTGAACAATAAATGTTACCTGGGTAAACCTGGAAATAAAACTGTTTATTCTAAACATTGAACTTTGTCGAGAAAGAATCCTATTTATTTGTCAGAAAGGCTCTTTGATGCAAGGATGTATGTGTTTGGTACATTATTTCTAATCTTGCCATTTATCCCCCAGTGGAGCATAGGTCCTGATCAAACTCACCACAAACCGTTTGTAGATAATAATAATAGGTGGGATTTGCAGGCAGTGAAGACTTCTACAGGACAAGGTGGTGATTCTCGTACCATTCCCCCTTTAGTTGCCCCTCTATGTCGTCAGTTTGTTTGCAGGGTTAATTCTCTATGCTTCCCTTTATTGTCGCTGTAATACGCGGGCAGACGCAAATAAATTATTTGAAGTACTGTGATTATTGATAAAGGTATTTTTCATTTAAATGTCTTTGCCAGTATTCAAAGCACACCCTGTTTCCCTATTGTTTATCATGACCTCATACCTCAGAATTTTATGTGACATTTGGTTTTCACTCTATTATCACTTTACCATTTTAAAACATTTTTTCCTATTAAAGGAGCTTAAAATAAATGTTTGGATCCTGTGTATGTTATTGTTTATACTTGAGTTTTTCATTTGGTTGGCATTATTTTTGTCTTGCTTTGATTTTCTTTATGATTGTTTAGGATTAATTATCATTCATATGTTTTAATAATTTTATTTACATTAATGTTAACTGCTTACCAATGGTGAATTAAAGATACATTTTTTTATATAGAACTAATTTTAACATATGGCTGTGAATTTAGACAGGTAGTAAATAAGCAAACAAATATTTCAAGGCTTCTGAGATGGGATTTTGCATATCAGGAAGGGAATGAGAGTGAAGGAAGAAATGATTGCAGAAAGGATGAGAGCTGAGCGACTGAGAAGAAACGGATTAAACACAGATGTTGGTAACAGTGGTCCTGAAATCCCATGATATCATTGTGGAAGACTTTTCTTGACACTGGCAGGTCTTGCCAGTCACAATTGCTATCGCCATGGGCTGTGACTCCCATGCCTCCTTATGGCGCAATATAACATTATCGTCAGGATAGATGGAAAGGTGCCAATAATCAATCAGTCGGTCGAGATGGGGTTTTGCAAAAGAATATTTAAAATTCGTTAGACAGCCAGAATAAGTTATCCAGATGGTTTGAGGGAGGTGCGGGTCCGAAGACGAATTTGTCAGAAGCTTGAGAAAGGTTCTGTCATCAGAAAGAAACTAGAGCATGTTGTGACAACTGGAAAGAGGGACAAAGGAAGTCGGAGTCATGGCACAGGAGGGCTTAGCTCATGAACTGATAAATGCTGTTAGGGATTTTAGGTTGTGGAAAAGCATGATCACTCATGCCAGTTGGCAAGACACTTAAAGATGATGATGATACTTTTATTTTTTACTGAACAGAAAGAGAGAGGGTGGAGGAGATATTAGAAAAGTTGTTAAGATGTTGAAATTTGGGATTATTATTTTGTTAAAAGTTCATGTTAAACACTGATCTGTCATGTTCCTGTTTAGAGGGGGGGGGGAGGGGTAATGAATGAATCACCTGGTTCCTAACAAACATGTCGTTAACAGCTATTAATTAGGAATTTACTTAAATCGGGCCTGTTGGGCTGAAAGGTGCATATACTACGGCCTAGCTGTAAACCACAGTACACTGCCCAATTGTCGAATTAAGGCTGAACACAAAAGAAGTTAAGCTCCTTCGTGCATTTTAGTTAAGATTTTACCTAACTTATGACATTTTTTGGTTGCACTGCTTCTCTTGAAATCAGTTTTTTTTGGTGTGTGTGTGCTCCTGACCGGCCAGTTGACTGGTTGTAATTGTTGTTTTTTTTTTTTTTACTTTATTCAGAGAGGACGTACGTTTCACATGTCATTTCTTAAATTGTATTCATTTTGCTTATGTTTTGATTTCTTGTATGTTTTTTATGGCTGTTAAAGATGCACAGGTTGCAGTTATGTTGAGAAATGTTCATCTCTTGTAATTGAAATAAATTTGTTATTAAAGATAACAGATCATGATGGGAGTAACGGAAAGCCCGAGTGTTAGCAATGAGAATGGGAATAATGGACATCATGATGTACATGGTAACAGTTATGATGGGAGCAGTGTAAAGGACGATGGGAATGGTAAAAATTGTGATTTGAAAACATAAGGCATAATGGTAATGGTAACAGTTATCTTCTTCTTCTTTTTGCGTTCGCCAGCTGTAAACTCTGGTGGAAAGTTCTGGTTGTTCATCCACTTCTGGACTGCAGTCCTGTTCCAGAACCTGTGTTGAGTGTGCATCTGTTTTACAGATCTGACTCATTTGTATTCAGACTGCTGGTTCCTTGCCTCTCAAGCAGATGCACTCCGACTTCAAAGGAAGCTCCCAATTAGTCGACTCTTACGTCATGCTTTTGGGTAGGCAGTGGGTCTATTCTTGTTTCCCCTTTAATAGGGCCCCGGAACCCACACGGGGAGGTAACAGTTATAACGAGAATAACATTAAGCATGATTGACATAGTAACAGTCATGGTGGGAATAATGTAAAGAATGATGAGATGGTAAAATTTATGATAGGAAGACATAGAGCATGGAGGGAATAGTAAAAATTGTGATGGGAATAACATAAAGCATTGTGGAAATAGTGGACATTACGCAAATATCTCCAAATAGAGTAGAACACTTTTCATTCACAAGTTTGTTGGGCTGACTGACTTTCCTGAAGGTTACAGGTGTGTCCCGCTCTGTTGTTTGCTTTCTCTTTTGTCTTGCATTTACGTTTTCATTCTGAGAAAGAGAATACCTGTGACATAGGTTGCAGCACTCTCTAGAGGATTTGTGTAAGGGCCAGACACTTCATGTTTTTTTAGCGTTAAAAGCACTGGCATGCTGAAATATACAACACATGATATCAACAGTATCGCGGAACACCCCTCTGACCTTGTGCAAAGGGCACGAGGCTCAGAAACTACCAATCAGAAGTGACCTATTTGTATATAGGGGGGTGTGGGGAAATAACATTACATGTTCCATGAAATAACAGCATGATAGGAATAAGAAAGCATGAATAGGTATGGTATTAATTATGATGGGAATAACCTAAAACATGAATGGAAATTGTAGAAATTATGGAAATAACATAAAGCATTAAAAGGAATTGCAGAAATTATGCGAATAACATTAGGCATGAATGGAAGTTGTAGAAATTAAGAAAAGAATAAACCATGAATGGGATGGGAATGACAGAAATTATGATGGGAATGGTAGAAATTATAATGGGAATAATATATAGCATGATGGGAATGGTAGACATTTAAACTGGAATAAAATATAGCATGATGGT